ACCAAGAATGTGACTAAACATGTGACCAAGAACCAAATTGTGACTGAGAACCAATAATAATGATATTAATATTCCTATTAATTACAATAGATCAGAGAAAGTTTCCCTCCAATTGAGGATGACATCGTTTTAATATCAGAGCCCAGTTCTGACGGTGTGTTTTCCCTTCAGAACAGACTGGCTGGAGTTTTGCTGTTTTTTCTGCCCTTTAATGACGAGGCAGCCCAGACCTTCCAGCTCCGGTGATTAAAGGCCAATCAGAGCTCTCCGCTTAGCCCCACGCCTCGGTATCTCTGACCAGGAGGACGTGTGCCTGGACCAGCTCTGCCCCTTTCAGGGGCCATTAGGGGGGCCGATAGCCATCAGAGGGCTCTGCATTACTCAGCTAATGGCCCACGGGGAGGAGAGGCCATTAGGAAATTAGCACAGTTACCCAGAAGCCCACGGGAGTTGTCAAGACCACTGGTCCGGCCAACAGAGAACCCAAAAGCACGACAAGGCAAACAGGCAAATCGTGAGGGAAAAACGCTTTACTCAGTCCAAAAAACAGGCAGGGGTCAAAACCAGGAAATCAGTTGAAGAGGCAAACAAATCCGACCAGAGGCAGGCAGGTATCCAAAATCCAGGGAGGCAAACGAGAGGTCAAAACGGACAGGCAGAACAAGAAAACGCTGGAATGCTTGGAACGGAACAACACAAGACAATCTGGCAGGGGATAAAGTGGAAAGGGAGTGGTATAAATACTGAAGACCAAATGAGCTAATGAGCAGCAGGTGAGGAGATGGGCGGAGAGAAGCAGGTGAGGGGGAATGAGTGATTGCATGACAGGGAAGGGCTGGATCAGAAATGACAGGAGAGTTAGATCATGCGAGGCCGGGGCTCAGGGATGGAGGGGAGTAGGCTGGTCAGCGGAGGAACAGGAATCCAGGGGTGAAAAAACCTTCCGGCAAGTCACTCGGGTCAGGCGGCCAAGGCGTCACGGAGGAGCAACCAAAAACTGGCAAACACTCTGGCACTGGCGTGCCGGCAGCTCCACCCAGATATACTCCTCCAAATGAGACAGATATGCCTCAGGTGTGCAGCCGCGAAACCACGCCCTCCAGGAACCTCCAGGAACCTCCAGGAAGCCCCCTGGTGGAAAAAGTGGGAAGGAACCCCAGCCAGCCTTCCCCAGATCCCAACACTGTCCTGTTATCCAATTAAAGCTCTGATTTATACAACTGAAACACTGATTTTAGGGCTCTTAAAGACTATCCTGTTCTCCTGTTAAAGCTCTGATTTATACCATTGAAACACTTATTTTTAGAGCTCCTAAAGCCTGGTCCAAAGCTCTGATTTAAACCACCGGAAAAAAGATTTGTGAGCTCTTAGAGCCTGTCTTGTAAACTAGGTAAAGCTCTAATTTAAACCACTGAAACACTGATTTTGGAGCTCTTAAAGCCTTCCCTGTTAGCTAGCTAAAGCTCTGATGAAGGGCTCTCATACAAACTGCTGTAAACGTGTGCTGGTGGGTATAAATCTGCACTTCTGGTCATCTCTGCTGACATCGGGACAATTAAGAGCTTTTTAAAAATGTACTTTTCTCTAAAAAAGAAAAGAAAATCTCTACAGAAGTTGCTTTGTGGCTTGTGAGTGCAGTGGAAGGCCGTGTCCTGCCCCGGGCAGCAGACATGTTCTCTGTCCATCCAGCCCCGTCAGCACAGAGGGTCGTCACCCCCGGGTCTCCTCCGATTGGCCGCCCCCATCAGCCCCCTGACAGGTGAGCAGCCAGGTGAGCCGGAACATCCCCCCCCTGGCCTCTGGCTGCTCCTGCCACCGGAGGAGACGGGAACAGGGAGGTTCCTCTCATAATTAACTCTGAGCTCACCTCTTTGCATCAGCTGAAGCCGTCAGACACTTCCTGACCCCGGGGGGGGTCCGGCGTGACCTCTGACCTCCGCTGAGCCCCATGAGTCCAGCCTGTTTTCCATCTCAGGCTGTAACTTTTCTGCCTGACTCTTTCTGGGCTGGAGGAAAAAGCTGCTTTAGAGGACGGCTCTGGGGGGGTTTAATTGAATTAGAGGTCCCCTGATTCTAACAGTTTTGGAGCTAATTGGTGTTGCTGAGTCCTGGGAGCTTTCCACGAACACCTCCACCTCTTTTTGGTTTTTCCCGAGCAGACAAACGCGTTCTCATATCAGAGCCCCCAAATTAAGGGAAGCACTCATGCTTCTCTTTTTTATTTCGACCTGTCTCCCGTTTCCAAGAGAATTCTTTTTAATGTTTTTTTTTTATTTGAAGCTGAATTAAACTGAAGTCAAACCGGCAAAAAGAGGCTTTGCTCAGAGTTCTTTATTCAGCAGCCAGGAGGGAAGAGCACAAAATGGCTGCATGGGCCTTTATGAGGGCTTCATGTGGGGCTTGACTCAGCCAAACACACCAACTAAGAAAACTGGAACCGGCTCAGGAAAAGGTCTGAGATGGCTGTCCCATAACTGAACTATGACTCCTTTAAAGGATG